CAGACTAGAGATGGGGATCTGGACTAGAGTTAGAGATGGGGGATCCGGACTGGAGATGGAGGATCCGGACTGGAGATGGAGGATCTGGACTGGAGATGGAGGATCTGGACTAGAGTTAGAGATGGAGGATCCAGTCTAGAGATGGAGGATCCAGACTAGAGTTGGAGGATCTGGAACTAGAGTTAGAGATGGGGGATCTGGACTAGAGATGGGGATATGGACTAGAGTTAGAGATGGAGGATCCAGTCTAGAGATGGAGGATCCAGACTAGAGTTGGAGGATCTGGAACTAGAGTTAGAGATTAGGGATCTGGACTAGAGTTAGAGATGGGGATCTGGACTAGAGATGGGGGATCCAGACTAGAGATGGGGATCTGGACTAGAGTTAGAGATGGGGGATCCGGACTGGAGATGGAGGATCCGGACTGGAGATGGAGGATCTGGACTAGAGATTGGGAAGCTTCCAACATCCTCTTGCACAACCTGCCACCCTGAGCCCTTCTGGGCTCCCACAGCTGTCCTAGGCTCCACCTGGCTTTTACCATTGAGTAGGGGTCCTCCCTTTGGATCGGGGCATAGATCTCAGCTGGGCCCGTGGCGTGGATGCCAATGCTGAACCCCAGGCTGATCTGTGAGGACGGTCTCCAGCTCAGCCGGCTCCCCTTGGAATAGTCCAGAGATCAGAGGGCAGGGCAGGGAGCCAGACGGGCTTCCCCATCACTGCTCATGGCTCTGTTCTACCTCTCCCGGCACTCCTGCCCTCAGCTCTGGGGAACCCTATTTGTACTGGGAGGTGGGGAGGTAGTCTGAGTCCAGTTTGGATGTGATTCCAGGGACTTTGCTCTTTCAGCCCTGAGTCACAGGCGGCCACTCTCTGGGCACAGAGCCAAAGGCAGCAGAGGTCTAACTCCTGCCCTTTGGTGTGCTGGCTCTGCCCATTCATTTGTCTGTGAGGTAACAGAGCCCAGTCCTGGCCATCTCTGGATATTAGCCCTTACACAGCACGAGACCTGGACCCCTGGACAGCAAAACTCATTGCTGGGGAGGCCAGCTGGGCCTCCAGACCTCAGTGACTGGGTCCTGGAGGCCCCTGAGGGTACTGAGCCAAGCTCTTCCTGCCCAGTGGTGGCTGTGTCCATCTGCCCCCAGGCCCTGGCTGACCCAACCCCCTGCTGTTGCTCAGCATTGGATTCAAGAGCAGCCAAGCCCAGGAGTCAGGTGGTTTGGGGAATTTACTAGGAGAAAATTCACTCTGGTGAAACAGGCTCCTCCCTGGGCTTGCCAGGCACAATACAGACACCCAGTTACATCTGAGTATCAGATTTGTACTACATGTTCCGTGCAATACTGGGGACATACGTATGAAGAATGATTCATTTTTCCAAAATCAAATGTGTTTTTAATTGTGGTGGCTTCACGCCCCCTGCCTGACCCCTCTCACTTGCCGCCAACACAGCAAAGGAGAGAAAAACCAGAGGGAGGGAGACCAGGACATGACGGGGAAAGGGACAGGCAAGAAGACAGAAGCTTATGTGGAGCAGGGGGACCGAACGTGGGGCGCAAGCTGGAGGGCAAAATGAACACGACAGTGCAGGTTTCTCTCCGATTATCACCCCAGGACCGGCGTCTGCCTACCAGGATGGCAATGATACAGCCGACGTTTGTGGGTCCCTGACCAAGGATGACTCATGGGTTCTGGAGCTACTCACACTTGGGAGTCAGTGACACGATCTGGAAAGTGCGTGTTGCTGCCGGGAACTTGTCCCAGTTTGGGAAAAGGGAAAACTGAGGGAGCGGCCCGGGGGGTGCGTAGGGGTCCTCCACTCCCACAGCACCGAAGAGGGGCTGGTGCCACTTTCTCCCCTGCGGCAGGGGGTTCAGAGTTTACATGGAAATCCGGGGCAGGAGGCTGAGCTGGCTGTGTGGGAGGTGACCAACCGCTCTGGGAGACAGCTGCAGCCTGCAAAGGCTGTGGAGCCCCAACCTGAGCTGGGGTGGAGGGAACCCCCCCTGCTGCTAGGGCTGGGAGGGGTCCCCAGCTGGGCAGTAAAGTCCTCTAGGCCTGGGGCCTGGGCGGGCAAACACTTCCATCTCCCCTCTGCCTGGCGGCCTCCTGCTGGGCTCACAAGCCTCCTGCTCTGAGAACCCTCTTCCCCACTACCAGCCCTGGAGCCACCTCCCCTGGACCCTGGGGCCAAAAGCACATCTGCCGCCCACCCTCACTGTCACAACCCAGGGCCAGGAGGGCCTCCCAGGGGCTCTGACTCCTCTACCCACAGGCCTGGCAAGTGGTTTCCACGCTGCAGATCATTAAACAGCAGTGGGTGATGCATTGAATTTAGAGATTGCTGCCAAACCAAATGTGAAGGGGAGCATGGAAAGGGGCCGCTAAAAACTTCACTCTGGGGAAACTGGCTCCTCTCCCGGCTTTCAGGCACAGGACCCCATCACGGCTTTCCAGGCACAGGATCCCTTCACGGGTCGGGGAAGCCTCAGGCGGCTCACTTCTGTTTTACTGGTGTGTGTGAGTGAGTGTGTGTGCATCATGGGTGTGTGAGTCCGCGAATGTGAGTGCACACGCGTGTAAGTGTGGGTCTGCGGGAGCCCGGGATGCGACCTCCCTGCCCTCTCAAGAGCCGAGCCTGTGTGTCCCCAGCGGAGAGGCAGGTCCCCGGTGCGACCGGCGGCCTCCGTCCCTTCTCCTCCCCCCCACGGCGCGCACCCTTTGCCCCCTGCTCCCTGGCCCACGGACCCTGGCGGGGCACTCGGGGCCGCACGTCTGCGGGTGAGGGTCAGCCCACTGCTCCGGGGTCTCCATCCCCAGTACCCGGAGCCCTTCGACCGCGGGACGCCCCCGCCACGTGCCCGGCTCGTGCGCCCCTCTCCTGCGTCCCCACTCCCAGCGCGCGCGCCCTCACCTGAGCCCCGGCTCCCCGCGCGCGCCTCTGGCCCGGGCCACTGGCTGCTGCCGCCGGTCTTTGCGCGCTGCGGGCGGAGAGCAGAGTCGGGCGCTCGGTGAGGGCGGAGCCGGGGGAGGAGGCTTCGGGAAGGAGGATCTGGGATACGCACCCAGGTCCTAGATACAGGAAGGAAACCGCGAGTTCGGGGAAGTCACTCGAGTCTTGGGAACTGCCCTGAATTCACAGAAAAGGTTTACGACTTTTTTGGTAGTTCTTTATTAGCGCTTCATTAGAAAACAGGAAAACAGCAAAACAGGCGGGGGGCGTTTTTCCAGGAAAGCTGACCAGATGCTCCTTTGGGGTGGCTGGGTTCGCTTCCCTGCATGGACCAGGGGAGCCCGCGGGTCCTCGCCTGTGCGCGCCGCACACACGCACACGCAGAGCCAGCTGTGCCCGCTGAGAATGCACAGGAGCGTGTGAAGGCTGAGAGTTGTCTCAAACGCAAGTGGGATCCAGACTACACCTGGAGGTAGTCGGGGGCGGGGGGAGCAGGGGGGCTGCTGGCAGGAGTGAGTAGGAGCGGGGGGCACACAGTTAAAAGGTCAAACTGCTTTTGATTAACTCTTGGCCAGAACGACGCCCTCCTCCCAGCTTCTCCCCACTGAGGGTCCTGCGGCGGGTGGGGAGACACATCCCGGACGAGGTCAGGTGTCCCAGGGGCGCACCTGTGTGAGGTCAGTCCCAAAGAGAAGTTTGGAAGTGGGGATTTGTTCATTTCTCACATACACATGGTTTTGGTGGTTATTATACAAATCACTAAGGTGAAAGTTTCTCCTTAAGTCTTTGAAGGAGACCGGTGTGGAAGCTTTGCTGGTGTCCAGGTGTTTGTTCCTTGTGCTGTCCTGGACCCTGGCCCAGCTTTCCAAGGCTAGCCAGCCTGGGCCCAGCTTCAGTTAATACAGACCCAGAGGTGGTCACCCGCCCTTCCTCCACTCCTTGCCACGCCCCACTGACCAACCCGTTTAAACTCTGCAAGCTTCAGCTTCCTCCTCACTTGAGGGGCTGGTGTGTGGATCTGGCCTGCAGACAGTCCTGTGAGCTTACACTCAGGGCAGGGAGATGTTCCAAAGGACTAACCTTTGTCTGGTGGGCAGAGAAAGCTCAGAGCTGGCCGTCCTCACAGGAATGGCACCTCCACGGAGGGGTACAGAGGCCAGAAGCCCCTGCCCCCACCCAGAGGCCAACGAAGCTCTTGAGGGAGGCCCCACAAATGATCACCCAGCCTGGGACCTAAATGCCACCTGCCCTAGGCCTCTGTGCCTGCCCACCCCCAGCCCCCCAGGCACTGCCCCTGGACCTGAAGGAGGGGCTCGTCCCTGAGGCCACCTCCCAAGTCGGCCTTTCCTTCCCATCACAGCCAGCATTGCCCAGGGTCCCTCAACTCAGCGGGGGCTCCTGGGCAGCGGCTGGAGACCGCCAAGTCCTTGAGGCATGGGGCTGTTCAGGAGGGAGGGTAGGAGGGCCCCACGCGGTGAGGGACCTTGAGCGTCAGCTGAGGGCTGAGACTCTTTTGTCCCCATGCAACCAGACGCCCTGGGGAGTTTGATGTAAATGTGTACCCAGGTAAAGCACTTAGGTATCTTGAAAGTGAAAAGAGTTTGTTTGTTTGTTTGTTTGTTTGTTTTAGATTTTATTTATTTATTTGACAGAGAGAGAAAGCGAGAGCAGGAACACAAGCAGGGGGAGTGGGAGAGGGAGAAGCAGGCTTCCTGCTGAGCAGGGAGCCCGATGCGGGACTTGATCTCAGGACCGGAGATCATGACCTGAGCCGAAGGCAGACGCTTACCCGACTCAGCCACCCATGCGCCCCAATATCTCACTTTTATCAATGGCTGCCTCACCCCTCAGCACACCTGGGCTGCTCTCTGTCCCCTTCTTTTTCTCATCCAAGATTGTTGCTTGGTTCTTTGTTATTGTCTTGTTCTCTTTTGTCTAACTTAATCTAATTATAATTTATCTGTTTTAGAAAATTTTAAAGTTTTAAAATGTAAGACTAATTGTAAATTCTTGACTCACGTACTATTTCTGCTTCTGGCGGAATCCACAGCTCAGCATGTTGTTTTCCTTCTGAAATCTCTTTCCTCAAACATCTGTTTATTTTTGTCCTGAGCCACCACGGGGTTTTGTTTTTATAGTTTCACTTTAGAAAGACTCACATTTTTTAAAAAGATTTTATTTATTTGAGAGAGAGAGAGCACGAGCAGGGGGAGGAGTGGAGGGAGAGAGAGAAGCAGACTCCCCGCTGAGCAGGGAGCCCTACAAGGGGCTCAATCCCAGGACCCCGCAATCGTGACCCCAGCTGAAGGCAGACGCTTCACCGACTAAGCCACCCAGGTGCCCCTGGAAGAATCCTGTTTTTAATATTGATCCTTCCTAGACAAGACCAAGACCATACGTTTTTCTATTTATCTGAATGCTCTTTTTATTTTCTTCAGATTATGACATCATTTGTACAAGCAGTTCACATTTCTTACTAAATTGGGGGGTATTTTTGTGGCTGCTTTAGGTAATGTGTGTGTGAGCTGCAGGCTGGTGCCTCACACGTCTGTTTGGCCACAGTGCCCAGAACTCCTCCTCCCCCACAGTCCTCCTGTGAGCCCTTCAGATGTGGCAGCTTCTGAGGGCAGGATGACCGCAGGTGTTTGGGGGCCCCATCAGCGGCCACAGGTCCTGGACGGGAGACCCTGGAGGGCCTCACAGTCCAGCTCTGGCCAGGGCTGGACCTGGGGCAGACACCTAGGCAGTCACAGCCGACTGGGCCAGGGACGAGACCCTTACTCGCCCACATCCTTCCCCAGAAGCTGCACCTCGATGTTACTTTCCTGAGGTGGTATCAGGAATGGGGTCGGGGTGGCAGCTCTGCCTGGAAGGGGTGTGGAGGAGAAGGGGCAGGCTCACCAATATCGGCCGGCCACCCTCGGCTGATTTAAAAAAATTGAAACCCTCTCTCCCCCCAGGTCACGACAAGGTGTTCATTATAGAACATTTACAAAGTGTAGGTAAGAAAGGCGAAATCACCTGTGATGTCACCTCTGGGGGGAGCCTTCTGGTACTCACGTGCATAGTGATTGTAATTCTCCCCACGGGTGGCAAAGATGGGGTTGGTGGGCTCTGTCCTCTGTGTACCCTGAGGGAGTTCCTGGGCCATTTTTTTGAGCTGCCCACCTGTGACTCCGGCCATCCGGTGCCCCACGAGGACCCCCCACCCCCGTCTCCTCAGCCCTTCTCCCACCCTGGGCTGTGGTCTCCACCGCTGTGGGAAGGTCGAGTCAACCCTGTTCTCCTCAGGGCACAAAGGGCCCCCTACCCTGTCCAGGTGTTGCCCCCTGCTTGGCCTCCACCTGGTCCCCAAATAGCAAGATGCCCCTTGTTCCAGTGCCTCTGAGCTCAGCGTGGGCATCCTGTCCCAGACGGGGCAAAACTGGGCGTGCAGGAGTGAGCACTCACCCCATCACTCCCTGCCTGACGCGTGGGGTGTGGGCACTACAGAGGCGGGCACAGGCCCCTGGGGAAGGCGGCAGTGCAGGTCTGGCCCATCCCTGAGCCAGCCTGGCCTTCCCCTGCTCCCGGGCAGCAGGAGGGTGGGGCCCTGGCCTGAGCCCCACTGCCAGACCCCAGGGAGCCCTCCCTGAGCCCTGCTAGGGTGTAGCTGATGCGGAGCGGGCGATCAGACCTGCCCCTCAGGACCCTCACCGTGCAAGGCACGGCCGTCTGGTAGCACGTCCCTTTTGATGTCCTCAGTATTTGTTGGTTTCTTTAACTGCTCTGTTCCAACAACATAGGTCCTCCCTCTAATCAGCTGTTTACTTGGCAGATATCTGTGGAGGGCTGAGCAAGGGCAGCCCAGGGAGACTTCCCTTAACCCTAACCCAGCCCCAGGAAGTCCGGCGGGACCAGCATTTGGGATTAGATTGTGCGGGGATTTCCAAACACACCGTGATCAGAGCCTTCCAGAGCGGCCGGAGGCCTGCCTTGCCTTGCCCCTGAGTCCATCCGCATGACCCGGACACGCTCGGGAGCCGGCAGGAGGAGCCCCCACACCTGCACCCCATCCTCTCCCTTTGGCTGCCGGCCTCCAATTTCTAGAATTACCCCAGAATTAGGACACTTCCCTGGGGAGACTCTAACCCCAACCTCACCAGAGGGCAGGCCAGGGCCAGTGTCCCTAACGTCCTCGGGCCAGGATGAGGGACAGCGGCTCCTTTGGACCCAAAGCCCTTCTCGGGGGCCCCTCCCCCCCCCCATGAGCCCCGTGGGAAGAGGAGTGAGGTTTCAAGAGGCATCTCTGGATGAGCGGTTCTGACAAAGGGAAACTCCTTAGCTGGGGACCACGGAGACAGACCTTCTCCAGGGGCTGCTTGGAGTGGGGGGGTCAACAGGGAGGGCCTCAGGGCATGCCACTGGATGGGGAGGGGGCTGGAGATTTCTCCAGAGACCTGCCGGGCATGACCTGGAGAGGCGCTGCTTGGACCTCCCGAGGGTCTGGGGAGAAACAGGGCCCAACATCGGCTGCAAGAATGTTGCACAGAGTTATCTGGTGTGAAGCCTGAGGGGCTGGGTTGAAGCCAGGCTGTGTCCAGTGATGGTGTCTGGGGTTGGCAGCACCAGGAGGCCGGACCCCGGCTGTGCAGACAGCATTGGCCCCATTTCATTTTGTTTCATTTCATTGCATTGCATTGCATTTCAATTAATTATTTATTCATTCATTCATGTGTGAGAGAGAGAGAGAGCAGGAGTGGGGGGGGCAGAGGCAGGGGGAGGAGGAGAGGGAGGATCTCCAGCAGGCCCCTCACTGAGCGCGGAGCCCGATGTGGGGCTCGATCCCACGACCCTGAGATCATGCCCTGAGTCTAAATCAAGAGTCAGACACTCAGTGGACAGCGTCACCCGGGCACCCTGCCCCAATTTCATTTTGAAAACACACAAACATAAAAATAAAATGAACAAACACACACACAAACATATATTTCCAGAAAAGCTAGAAAGGCGTGAAATGCTGTTAGAAATTAACTCTGAGTCAGGGAACTACAGGTTTTTGCAGTTTCTTGTACTTTTTCTTTGTCCTCCCAAATTTCTACAATGGACATGCACTTCAATAATCAGGGAGGACCATGTTCTTTAAGAATAAACTGTAATTTTGGGCGCCTGGGTGGCTCAGTTGGTTGAGCGACTGCCTTCGGCTCAGGTCATGATCCTGGAGTCCCGTCCGGGATCGAGTCCTGCATCGGGCTCCCTGCTGAGCAGGGCGTCTACTTCTCCCTCTGACCCTCCTCCCTCTTGTGCTCTGTCTCTCATTCTCTCTCTCTTAAATAAATAAATAAAATCTTTAAAAAAAAAAAGAATAAACTAATTTTTATTACATCAGAGAGAGAAGCGGATTGACTGGGGAGAAGGGGAGTAGAGGGAGCTCTCAGGGTGACTGGGCCTCCCCCGACCCCTGGCCCGGGGGGTTGGGTTGGGGGGGGGACCCGGAAAGGCTGAGATGGCCCTGGGCTCTGAGTGCAAATGTGGGGATCCTTAAAGGCCGTCCTTCTGATCTCCAGCTTTCTCAGGGGAGGGCAGTGGGGCCCTGGCACGCAGCATTGCCTCTCCTGGGTGAAGTGTCACCTCAAGGCCATCAGGAGAGGGTGGGGGCTCCAAGCCATTCCTGGACCCGCCCAGCCCAGGGGCTGCTACCTGGGTGGGCTTGGCACCCTCCCCTCGGAGGCTCACTCGGCCTTGAGTGGGAGTTGGACTCCATGGAGGTTGCCATTTGGGAAAAGGACTTGGCCACCTCGGCCTGAGTAGATGAACCCTCAGCTCCAGGACATTTTTCAGGAACAAAGGGACAACTCTTGGCTCTCTCCTGTCTGTCCACCCCACAGGTGGTTTATTTTGCATTTGACCTCTGACCTCCCCTCCTGGCCCAGGGTTGGACCAAACAGGCCTGGGGCCAGTGGGCTTGAGGCTGATGGGGTGGCTGTCCGGAACAGGGAATGCTCCCCACAAGGCCAGAGGGTCCGAAGGGGCCCTGGGGGGAGGGCTCTGAGCAGAAGGCCTGAGGCAGGTGGTCAGAAAGCCCTGGGAAAGTGCAGGCCGTCCTCGGCCCTGGGGGCAGGTTCGGGCACCCCGGCCTCCCTGGGCGGTCCCCGCATCCCAGAGTCTGAGCCTGGATGTGTTGGCTGGCGGTAGGAAGGCCCGTAGCTGGGGTCAGAGCTGAGGGAGCAGCTGGGTTGGGCAGCTGCTCGGGCTTCAGAGAAACCTGAGGGAGAACATCCCGCTGGATCTGGCACCACCAGGGGTGTGGGGTGCAGCGCAGAGGGTGGTGAAGCCCAGGGTGTGGGGGGCAGGTGGCTAGCTGCCAGCCTGCACATTTCCTTCGGCGAGGGGCCAAGGGTGTTCGGTTCTGGCCACGTTCCTGCTCTTCCGGATGGACCCGCACCTGCTCTGTACACAGGAGGTGCTCAGTGAATGCAGCTAACAGGCGATAGGGTTTCCAACCCTCTTCCCGTAGCGGGGAGGCATCTGTGCAGGGCGACCTCCCACAGCCCCTTCTCCCTCTGGAGGCGGGCAGCTGGTGCGAAGGGGGGTGAGGGACGGCAGGAAAGTTCTTGAAGTGACAGACAACATTTTCCTTTCTGACTAATGAGCTCCCGAACAGGGCCAGAGTAAATTAAAGTTAATTATAGTAAATTAGGACAGTAAATTAATATATACCAGGGATAGTTTTGTTTGTGATCACCAGTAAAATCATCAATACGATAGTAATCAGAAGCAGCTCTGCCCGTCAGCCCCAAATTAGCAGTTCTTTTCTCTTCTGTTCTTCATCTAAATCACGTAATGACTCCTTCCCTCACTGTCATAAGAACCCCTTGCTTTCCCCACGTGAGCAGGACAGTCTTCTGGTCGCTCCGGAGTCTGCACTCCCCGAGTTGCAATCCTGAGAGCCCCCCCAATAAAGGCCTGTGTTCTTTTTCATTTTCGCTTCCATTTCTCTGTCGACAGAGGTAAGCGTGTTTTCTGGAGAATTAAGAGTCAGGTCTGCTTCATAAAACACACAAACTCCTCACAGAATTCGGTGTGTCATGTCTGTCAGGGCATCTCGGGACCTGACGGTCGGGGCACGAGCTGTGGCCCCACACCCCGGGCTTCCTTTGGTGCAGAGCTCCGGGACCTCCTCCGGCCGGCCTGGGCTCTCAGCCCTTGGGTCGCGGTGACACTGACGCCCACACTTCCGTGTGAGTATTCGCTGCTGCGTTTTAAATGAATCTGATATTTTCAACCGTTATGTGTGTCTTAGTTTATTTTATTTTTTTTTTAAGATTTTTTATTTTTTTTATTAGAGAGAGTACAAGCAGGGGGAGCGGCAGGTAGAGGGAGAGGGAGAAGCAGGCTCCCCGCTCAGCAGGGAGACTGACGTGGGGCTCGATCCCAGGACCCTGGAATCATGACCTGGGCTGAAGGCAGCCGCTTAACCGACAGAGCCACCCAGGCACCCCATGTGTGTCTTAGTTTAAATGTGCTTCTCAGGGATGGTGTATAGCAGATTTTTATTTGTGTGATTTGTTTTTTCAGCCAGAGACGACATCCTCCGTATAATTATAAGGAAATTCATTTCATTACATGGTTACCTGGATTTTATACATTGCTATTTCTAGACTTATAGCAGATGCTCTCTTAACAAAGTACAATCAGTGATATTTAGAGAATATCTGAACGCGTTCACAACATGATGGCTTTGAGCCTGCCAGCTCAAAGTCTGGTCTGGGGCCACGAGGGGCCTTGCCAGCAGATGCTTGGCAGCGCCCATGACACCGCACCCCGGGGATTACATGTGCCTTTCCGGTGGCATGCAGGCTGACTCAGAATTGATATCTCTACTTACATTAAGATAGAACCTTAATGCGCGTCTCCCTCCACCCCTCTCCCCTGCGGAGCGTCTGCCACTTAGCTCCCATTTTGCTGTTGGATTTTCTGAGCACTTTGCAAGCTGTGAGGGCGCTGCACCTTGCTGGTTCACCTGACGGAAGGTTTGATGAGGTTCAGAGGCTAGAGGGATGTGTGCACGTTTGCTCCTGAGGGAGCGGCCTGGCCAGGGGCAAGGAGTCACCTTGGATGAGGGTATCTCCACTCTTGCTCACCCCTAGCTGGCATGTGTGGTGGGGGCAGTGGGTCCTGGGTGGGGAGGTCGCCCCTTCTCAGAAGCCAAGCTGGTAATGGGCGGAGGGCCTTGGACAGAGCGGTTGGCTCACAGGGAGCCCAGCCTTCTGCCCCACGCACCCTGAGACACCTCTGGGAGGTGGGCGAGATCCTTGGGGGTGACGGGGTGGCGGTGGGAGGGAGGTCTGTGCTCCTGTTCTTTCCCAGGTCAGGCCTTCCCTCTCAGGTTCCAAGGGAGCGGAGCCTCAGTGGTTGTGCCCAGAGGGCAGAGTCAGCCCAACCATCTGCTTTCTGCTGTCCCCTCCATCCTGCGGGCCGATCACACGGCCCCCAGTGGCACCCAGGTTCCTGGGAGCTCAGGGCTGGTCCGATGGATGGCTGTCTGTCCATCAGGATGTCTGTGACCCTCAATCCTTAAATCAGAAGGAGTTGGAAACATCCTCGCTTGTTCTGCATAAGGATGCAAGCGCTGGGTGTGAGGCCAAGGGCTGAGACAGGGGCCGGGTGGTCGGAGGAGGCCCCTGCCCATGCAGGCAGGCCTTCGGGTGGCTGCCATCTGGGGAGGGGAGCCCATTTTGCACGTGGCCCCTTGTTGGCAGGTCTGAGTCTCAGGCTTGGCAGTGTTGGGCCTGGGGACCAGCTTGCACTGACCAGACCCACATTGCCAGAGGACGAACGCCCTGGTGAGCCTCCACTGGCTTCCACCGTGCTCTGCCTTGGAAAAACGTGTGCATGTGAAGGCACACATAAACAGCAAGTGGCAGGGTCCTGGTGGCAGCTGGTGGCCTCACTGTGATGGCTGCAGTGGGGCTCTGTGTTCATGCCATGGCCGAACCGGCGGGGGCCGGGGGCTCTGCTCAGAGAAGGGGGCCAGGGGCCGGGGGCTCTGCTCAGAGGAGGGGGGGCCTCTGCAGTGGGGCCTCGCTCCACAGTCACAGTCACAGGGACTCGGGCTGACCGAGACCCCTTCATCGGGCAACGGTGCCATCTATACCCTGTGGTCCCCGCTGCTGCCTTGGGGAACCCACACTTGGGCTCACCTGCCTGGGCTGCAAGGCCCCCTCACTTCTGCCAGGGCCCTGTCACCTGTCTGTAGGGCATCTGCCGGGGAGCATGCTGTCTCCTTCCAGCCAGCGGATCTAGATGGACGCTTTGTGCTCCTAATGCACCAACGGAACCTTGTCTGTCTGTTTCTTTTCCCTTCTTTTGTGTCATCTTTGCCTGAACAACTTTGGGCACGAGCCTCACCTCGGACTCTCAACGGCCCCCCTGTCCGGTGACAGTGACTGCTGCCACTGCCCGCAGCCAGGTGAGGACCGGAGAGCCGGTGAAGCTCTCTCATTGGCCACGGAGTGGGGAAGCTATGGAGAAGATGCTCACACGCGGGACAGACCCTCGCTGTGGCTACCCAACCAGCGGGAGTCAGGAGGACATTCTCACATAGGAATTTCCCCCCCACTTTTAAGGGGAAGGAGAAGCATCCCTCCCCGTCCCAGCAGCCACGCACTGATCTCCGCCCCTCCCCCAGCAGCCACGCACTGATCTCCGCCCCTCCCCCAGCAGCCACGCACTGATCTCCGCCCCTCCCCCAGCAGCCACGCACTGACCACCGCCCCTCCCCCAGCAGCCACGCACTGACCACCGCCCCTCCCCCAGCAGCCACGCACTGACCACACTCGCAGTAAGCCCTTCTCCGGTGAGGGAAGGACCCTTCCCAGTTTCCTCCTAAACTCTAATCAAGTGGACCTTCCCTTTCTCTTCAGACTTGCCTATGGTTCCCCGTTGCGTGGATGGAATTGCACTTCCTCCAATGTTCCTGAATAAACTCATTTTGCTGGTAAAATAACTGGCTATTTTATTTTTAAGGTTAACAAAATCCCCTCAGGAAAGGACCTCTTTGCCTTCCCCCAGGACCCCCAACTTCTCCCGGTCCCCCTGCTTCACACCAGGCCCAGGCTCGCCCGTCCCTCCTGACTGTTGCCCCAGGATGGGGGGACACAGCCCACCCTACAGGGGCTCTGGGGGCCTCAGGGGCCGTGGGCCACCTGCTTAGGTTACTTTAGGGACCATAGGGGAGACTTTTATTCTTTTCAGAATGGGGTTTGGACCAGCGATTAAGCCGTCTACACAGGCAGGGAGTGACAAGGAATGCGGTCATGTTCTATGGTGTTCTTCGGGATCCTTTCAGACCTTCTTTATGCAAAGAAGATCAAAGAAAAATATGTTCTTGTCCACTCGCAGCCCATTGTTGACAAAGGCAGCCAGTGAATCCTGCATGGAAAACCGACTTTCTGGAGCCAGCTCTCCTGGAGTGGCCGGTGAAGGTGGGGCGCACCCTCTCTCGTGGGCCGAATGGGGCTGGGCCGTGAATGGGCCTTGGGCCTATTTCCCACCTTCGTCACACGAGTCAGCCCTGACAGACACGCGGGTTCCTTGTTTTCCAGGTCATGAGTGCGGTTTCAGGACAAAAGCCCAAGTGGGGCAGCTGACCGCCTCCGCCAAGGGGCGCACTGTGGTGGTGACAGGCTTGCCCTCCTGACTTTGACTCCTGGCGGCCAGGGGGAGCACCTTCTGCACCCCAAGTATGTGCTGCCGGTCTGCCCGTCTCGGCTCGGGTTCTGTCCCTTACCTGGCTCGCTCCCATCAGCTGCCAGCTTTCCCCTCCCCAGGCTCTGGCCACATGGGGCTCCCGTGGGCTCAGTTACCACGCGGGGTGGTGTGCACAAGTGACAGGCAGAGTTCTGAGCAGGTAGCCTTCCTTTGTGCGTCAGCCTGCCGCTGTTTGTCCCCATGAAGACTCACTGGCGTGAAGTCAAACAGCCATTGTGGGCCATTTCTTGGAGCTGCGGCCCACATCCGTTAGTCTTCCGGATGTAGCTTCGCTTGGCAGAGCCATCCAGCTGGGCCCCCAGCGTCTGTGGCCGCTGCGTGGACACTACCGGGTGGCTGCATTTCCCAGACCTCTGCGTGAAGGTGGGACCCAAAGATACCCCTTGTCCTGAAATTAATAAAATTCGAGGTCATTCCTAAGAGAGTTTTTTATAAGATTAGAAAAACTCTTTCTAAAATTCGTATGAAAGAGCAAAGGATCCGGAGCCAAGATGTTTGAAGGACTAAAAGGTGGGCTTGATCTTCAGGGGCCCGCAGAGCTTCCTGCTGCCCCGCCCCAGGCCTGATTGAGGGGGTGGGGCAGGACCCCCTCTGGGCAAAGTTGGGCAGGAGAGAGGGGCCAGAGGACCAGCAGCTCAGAGGAACCCTCAGACCAGAGCAGGGGATGGGTGACATCTTCCCAGTGAAGCTCTCTGACCTTCGCTCATCTCGGTTGTGTGGATGTGCACAGGTGTGTGCCTGGGAGTGTGGGGGGTCGTGTGTGAGCGTGGCAGTCCTTGGGGTGGGATGCCGGTCCACCAGCGGGAAGGGGCTCTGAATGGGACGTGAAAGGGCAGAATATCACAAAGGCACAAGCCTGCTGGCCGAGGACAGCTCTGACCCTCAGAAGACGGTGGGAAGGGTTGGCTGGTGGGGGCGGCACAGACGCCCTGGGGTGGGCGGCACAGACCCCCTCGGGGGGCAGGGGGCACAGATGCCCTGGGGTGGGCGGCACAGACCCCCCTGGGGTGGGCGGGGGGCGGCATAGACCCCCTGGGGTGGGCGGGGGGCATCACAGACCCCCTGGAGTTGGGTGGGGGGGCACAGATGCCCTGGGGTGGGCGGGGGGGGGCGGCATAGACCCCCTGGGGTGGGCAGGGGGCACAGACCCCCTGGGGTGGGTGGCGGGCTCCTCAGACCCTCGTCCAGAGCTGCTGCTGTCAAGTGAGGGGACGCCCAAGCTGATGGCCGGCAGGGCCCCAAGGAGGCAGGAGGCTCACATGCCCTGGACGACACAGAGTCCCTCCAGTACCACACGCCAGCCCTCCCGCTCCCCCTGTGCACACCCACACACACAGGCCGCACACGTCTGCACACGCATGTGTACATTCACAAACGTGGGCTCGCATATGCTCACCAGTGGACACCCACACACTCACACACCGGAGCCACGGGACAATCACTGCTTTCCTGGTGGCAAACTAGAAATAAACCCTGTGATGGGTTTAATTTACAAACTGTCACAATAACTTTTATTTTTAAAATGAGGCCCAGCTGAGGGGACACGGAGGTGCCCTGCTTGTGCAGGTAGGACACGTGCGAGCTAGACAGCCCGGTGTGAGCGACCCCATCTCCCACCTGCCCACACCTGGCACGCACCTGGCAGCCACAGAAATGTGGGAGATTTCCATTTCCGGCGGTACGACCGGCTCTGCAGGCAGCCGCGGGCGCCTGGAGAGGGAGCAGGAGAGGGGGCCCAGCTTCAAGGGCTCGCTGGGCCACCACCCAGACACGCTGCGTCACAGCACGGGCATGTGATTCCCAAAGGACGCTTATATCATTTTTCTTTCATTAGAGCTGACTTCTTTTTTTTTTTTTTAAGATTTTATTTATTCATTTGAGACACAGAGATAGAGAGAGAGAGAGAGAGCATGAGCAGGGAGAGAGGAGAGGGAGAAGCAGGCTCCCCGCTGAGCCAGGAGCCCGATGTGTGTCTTGATCCCGGGACCCTGGGATCATGACCTGAGCCGAAGGCAGACGCTCAACCATCTGAGGCACCAGGCGCCCCAGAGCTGACTTCTGATCTCGTGCTTCCTCATACCGTCCCGTCCCGCTGTGCGAAGTGGCGTCCGGGTTTCTAGTTTACTTCTGGGGCCCAGGGATTGGGAGGATGAAGAAAATATGAGAGCCTGAGGCCCGAGGCCTCCCACCAGGGACCTGGAGCTGGAGGGGCCGGCCCCCACCTCCTGGCCAGTCAGGGAGAGGTCCCCTCGGTCCCCTCCACAAATGGCTCACGAGATCCCTGGGGGCGGCCCATGCCGCCCTGGCCACCACCTTGTCCCTTGGTCCCGCCCTCCGCCCCACCTCGCCTGAGCCCACATCTGGTTCACCTTCCTAAAGCTCACTGTCGGTTAGCAAACCAACAGTTTTATTCTTCAAAAAATATATACGAGATCGATCAACTTACTGTACAGGTGAAATAAGTGGAAGTTGTCTTCCTTATATTCAGAAACCCAGCCTTGAGTTAGAGGGAAGCAGCTGATAATAAAACGGGCGGGGCACCAAGCAAACCTCCCCCTGAACCTCGACGGCTTCTCCTCCCCGCACCATTGGCAGAGCGCCTGGGAGACCCAGAGCAGCCACCCGCACGGGGGACGGGAAGGTTCGGGACGACCGCCTACACAGTGGCCCGTTGCACTCATCGAGATCCCACTCAGTGAAGAAAGCCGGCTGTGAAATAGCATCCACTGTTTTGAAGTGTGTGTGTGTAAGCCGACGTGGACGGCGCCTGTCACCTGCGCCAGGTCCTGTTCCGCGGCCCGGCTCCCCCGCACCCTCCCGTCTCTCTAAGCCAGACGCCCGACTGCTCGGCCTTGGCTGGTCCATCCCGCTGGCGCCGGCGGCCTCTCTGGCCCCGGACTCCTCCTCGGCCCCAGCGCCCCCGTGTGCTCTTCTCCCGGCTCCAGCGGAGCCTCGGGCACCTGAGGGAATGTGCGTTGGGCAAAGGCCACCTCGGGCACGCTGGTGGGAACGGAAGACAGAGCAGCCCTGTGGCAGGCAGGGCGCGGTTCCGGCAAAGGTTCGACACAGAAGCATCGCGTGTGGGATCCAGCAATCCCACCCTGGATTCACCCAAACAAAAACTTATATGAGAACGTTCACAGAGGCGTCGTTCATTATTCCACCAAAAGGTGCAGAAACCTAAATGTCTACCAGCCGACGAGTGGATAAACAACGTGGTCATCCGTACGATGGATTGTCCTTTGTCCTCAAACAGGAGTGAAGCGCCAACACTGGCTTCCGCGGGGATGAGGCGCGTGACCTCGTGCTGCGTGAACCAAGGCCACGAAGGCCACACAGGAGGGTTCATTCACACGAAATGCCCAGAACAGGCAAATCCACGGAGAAAGAAAGGAGACCCATGGTTGAGGCGGCTGGGGGCAAGGAAGGGAATGACGCTGAGGCTACAGGGTTTCTTTTGGGGGATGAAAGGCCCCACGCTCAGAGCTGATGCTGGTACAGCACGGTGAGTGCATCGAAAGCCCTGGCACTGTGCACCTAAGGAAAGCCCGTCTGGCTGAGTGTGCAGCTGTCCTTGACTTTGACCTTCAGCACGGTCCACTCTCCCATCCTCTGCGCCAGCTCTGAGTGGTGCTAAGGGTGATCCCTCTGCCCTCACGCCCAGCTCTGGCTGGGGTCACAGCCACGCGCCCTCCAATGTCCGTGGGATCCCGACCTAGGTCCTCCGGGCCCCCCGGGGGGAGGTGCCAGGTGATGCCGAGCAGCTCCCTGCAACCGTGGCCGCTGGGGGTAAGGCAGAGGCTTCAGAGAGGCTGATGTCCAAAACAGCTTTTATTACTGAAAAGTTCCAGCGTAAACACAAATACTGAGTGGCAGGGCCACCCTGGAGCCACACCTCACCCTCTTTCAACACTTGGCCTCTTCCGTGTCTTTCCTACAGCCACGTGGAAGCAAGGTCTGGGGCTCGGGCTGGCGTGTGGAAATGGCTGGTTTCAATTAGCAAGTGACTTCATGACCTCCTTCCCCCCACAGGCCTGGCCCTCCCCCGTCTTCCTGCATGTGGAAAACCGAATTTGCTTTACAGATTTGCATGTGGCTTAGATTTGACATTAATAGCATTTCTCTTACGAGTTTTCCTGATTATGAAACCGTTAGAACCGAGCTAACATCTCCCAGGCCCCTCTGTGCTGTTCCCCATGCCACGGCACGAAGGCCTCACAGACCTCTCAGTCTGTACTGCGAGGGTGAGGGTCTCCCAACTGTCTTGAGAGTCACACTTCTAGAGTCGGGCTTTCCAAACGAGAACGCAGGGCATGGCTTTAAGCAAGGGCCCGAATGGGGCATCTGCCAAGCAGAATGTCGCCTCCTCCACTGGCAGGCCTGACCCCAGCCGCACGGACAGTGCGTCCCTTTCCCACGCTACCTGGCATTTTCAAAAGCCTTGGATGTTAAGGAGTTGGTGTTTTAAGCTCTGCCAGAATGACCCTGGGGTCAAATCCTTTCACGGCAACGTGAGCCCTGGCCACTTCTCGGGGCCTCTCTCCAGTGGGCCGGGACCGAGAGCGTGGTTTTCAGGACGGGATGCCCAGAGCTTGAGACAGTCGACGTCAGGCCTGAACCGCCTGCACATGAGGTTCTGCAGACAAGGGTGACTTTTGTCAGGGGATGTAGGGCCCTGGACGCTGACATGGCACCCTGTGTCCAGTTCTCAGGGGACTTCACTGGGGTTGGGACCCAGCTCTCAGGGCCCTGGGCCTGGCAGCCTGGCTATTTGAGGCCTGAGACCCTTGATGGGGGGCACTGGCCTCACCCTGTCTTGGGGACGAACACGCCTTTGTAGGTACACGGCTGTCCTCCCAGCGAGCGCTGGATGACCATCCCTGGAGCTTTGTGACGAAGACCAGCTCGGGGCAACTTGGAGTCCCAGGCAGTGTCACCTGCGCACAGGGCCACAAGGGGGGTGCTGCAGGAGTCCACACTGTCACATGTGCTGTTTACTGGACAAAATCCCAGTCATCACAGGTGAAATGGAGCAAGCAAAGGTAGACCTGGTCAACGTCCATGAGGACAGCGCAGGGGTGGGGTTTACGTCGGCCCTGGTGCCTGGCAGCCTGGCCTGGGTTTTCTGTCTGCAAGGGAAGGTTGCACCAGTCTCCTCCTTGGCTGTTCTCCATGCTTCTCTGCAGCTCCGCCCAGCCTGGACCATGGACAGCTTGAGAACCTTACGGCTGTCCGGTTACCTTCGTAGTTCAAGTTCATTTCAGAAGCCATGGAAAACAGACGAGCAGAAAGGGCCGATGTTCTGTGTCATCCACCCCCAAAGGTGACTTTTGCTAACATCTGGGTCTCAGCCCTCTAACTCTGTGGCCCTGTCTTTGGGGTCAGGCCTTCCCCACCCACAGTCCTGTGGTTATTAATGGCTATTTCTGTTTACTACAATTCTCCAGACGTGGCCTGGCAGGGATGGGACCCAGAAACCACGGCACCTGCTCCGAAGGGCCCGGAGGACGTGCACACGCTCAGACCCACACCACAGCCTTGCCACACTCCCAGGTGCTCACGCGCTCACAAGTGCATCCCCACAGCGGGTCTCCGGGGTTGCAGCGGGAAGCGGAGCTGGATTGGTGGGACGTCCCTTCTGTCCCACCTCAGCCCAGCTGCCCGAGCCTCTGCCAGAGAGCACCCTGGACCCCGAGAGCTGTCAGGACCCCACATAAAATGTCCTGACTTCGCAGACCAGAAAATGGAGGCCAGAGCAGATTGCAGAGCTGAGCATTCCCAGGAAGTTTCCGAGGACGGGCTGCTGGTGCTGGCTCTTCTTGGAGCCCGTGTGACACTGGGACTGAGCATGGGGCAGGCACTCCTTTGCGGAATGTGGATGGTTTGGGGAGTCCACCCAGTCTGAAATGACCACCAGGGGGCGCCATTGGCACACAATCAGCCGCGTCCTGGGCCTGGAAATCTGTGCGGTCTCGGATCCCCAGGCCACACGGGGGCAGGTCGGGTGTAAGTTTCCACAGTCTTATTTTCACTACCCAAACATTTATGGGTTTGATTCAGTCCTGCGTTTATATGCCTAGTTTTATCCATTTGCAGATCTTTAAACAAAATGCACTGAGCACGGCAGGGACAGGGACAAGTGAGGAGGATCCTAACGCCCAGGGAGCTGTCACACCCCGCCCCTGCCTCCTCCATGTGCGTGCGGTTCTCCACTGGGCGAGAGCTGGGCACGTTGCTGTGCATCCCCCTGGTGGCCCAGCAGAGCCCGCCCTGCGACAGGACCCCAGGAGCCTGCCCACAGGAGCTGAGTTCTGGACGGGGGTGGGGGGGGCAAAGGAGAAGGGGAGGCTGTGCCGCGTTTGTGTGCCCGGCGGTGCCCTCTGACGGCGCCCCCACGAGGTCCAGCTGCAGGGTCCCCGGGGCCATGAGGGCAGTGGCATTGACCTGAGGGCCACGCATGTGGGTTTGGCAGCCTTCCCTCGAGCAGCAGGGAAGCTGGCGGCCTGCTCCTGGGGCCCTCACGGGGGGCGCTGAGTGGGTATAGCCCCGGCCTGTGCTGAGGGCCTTAGCCTCCCCGCTGCGCCCTCTGTACAGCCCGGTGTTGTTTCTACTTCAACATAAGCAAGTAAACTGAAGTAAAGCTCTCTTTAACCAAAAAGAATGTTATTTTTTGAGCACAGAAGACAGTCGGTGATGAGCCGGTTTCCTGGAGGCCTGTTGGCCGGCCTCTGGGGGAGGCCAGTGCAACGCCACTCCGGAATTTTTTTTTAAGTTTTTATTGATTCGTTTATTTAAGTAATCCCTACACCCAACGTGGGACTTGAACTCATGACCCTGAGATCAAGAGTCATGTGCTCTTCTGATTGAGCCAGCCGGGCGCCCCTGATTCACCCAGAATCATAATCCTTGGTATTTCCCATCCTTAGCTTCATCCAATATGTGTTTTTAAGGAGATGCCACTTTCGTTGGATGATGGGAGAAAAGAAGATGGACCAGAAGGGTCTTTTATGTTGGGTGCATTTAAGCAAAGGGGTCCGTGACTAACGTCCCCACACCCACAGGCCGCCCCTCCATTCCTCAAGGCGGGGGGCAGAGGAGGAGGCTTGTCCAGATCAGCCCTGCTCAGTCCTTTTGAATGGGGACCCTCCCTCGAATCCATGCAGCCCGGAAGCATGAGCCCCAAATCCCCAGCTGTGGTAGCCTGGTGGGGAGGGCCGGATGGTCTGTGACCTGAGGGGGCCCCGGGGAGCCCCACTGTGGGTCACGGCTTCTGCAGGCTGTGGTGGGGACACAGAGGCCTGGAAGTGTGAATCTACCCACAGAATCTACCCAAGAGGGGAGAGCAGAGGGACTGTGAGCCGGCTGTGTGGTGCTGCCCTATCTTCCGGAACCTTCCAGCACGGGAGCCTGTAACCCCAACTCCAAAGATGCCCACACTTCAAGGGTCTCTGGAAAGAGCTCGCACAGGAACCAGCTGAAAGGAGTGCTGTGGGACCAGTGGGGGCTCGGGGACCCTCCCAACTCCGCCAGGACACACTGGGCTTGGGGGAGGTAACAGCCCGCGTCTTCCTGGAGGTGACAACCCTGAGGATTCTGCCCCCACACTTCCCCACCACACACTGGTCTTCCTCCTCCTCTCACAAACTTACTCTGCCCTCCGCCCCCTGCCCGCCTCCACCGCATGGAGTATTCCAGCGTACCCCCTGAGAGAAGGGGGTGCACCCACAGCCGCCGCCCCCCACACCGAGGCGGGCATGACTCAGCAAGAACTCAGGACGAAGGTGGTCTGAAGCCAGCAGCCCGGCAGGCGGGAGGCGAGAAAGGACATTTTCAGTTACGTGGCCGTGGTTACTTAGCGCCTGGAAGAGAAAAGCCGGTGTTGCCGCACTCGAGCAAACAACCCAGTCTGCTGCACAGAGGATTCTGTGAGACACGGCGCTCCGCCAGCCCAGGCGGGCCGTGTGGCTGCGGGGCCAGACCTGGTGTCCTCCCGACCGACATGCGTGCGGGGCGCCCTGCTGCCCGCAGACCCCGCCCTGGTCACTGACTGGGGAGCAGCGTTTCCAAAGGTCTGACCTCCCGGCTCAGGCCCGTCCCCAGGAGACACCACCCCTGCCACAGCCTGCCCATGGCTGCTCGCGGCTGTGTCAAGACCCTTCCCCAAGGAGGGGTGGGGGTGGGTCTCCGCTGCCTCCACGGGGCAGCCTCTGTCCTTGCTGTGGTCCCCAGCTGCCTGGAAACCAACTTTAAATGGTGTCAGGTTGTCTGCAGACATGTTCAGCTACAATGCAAGGACATGCACATGGTATCAAGACCCCCAGGTCCTTTCAGGGGAAGGGCTTTGGGGCCCCAACAGGCATTTGCCCCTTTCCTGCTCAGGGACCATTTCCTGCACACACCCCTGAGGCCTCTGGCGAGGCCATGGACTCTGGATTCAGGGGGAGCGAGCTGGCCATGAGGGAAAAGAAAAGATACTGGGCCTCCGCCAGGCTCTGGGCCTGCCCAGGGGAGATGTGTGATAGGGCCCACCTCAGCTAGACCCCATCCCAGAAGGGCTGAGGACAGTGCTGGCCACAGGGGATGTCAGTGCCTAGGCTCTCCCTTTGCTGCCTGACTTGCAGCTCTTCTTCCTACTCAACACTAACACACAGACCCTACACTGTAGAAGAGATTTTTAAACAAAAAATTCTAACTATCCACAGAAAAAGATGACAACAATCCATGCCAAATAGTGACAGCAATCTCTCTGAGGGTTGGGTTACCAATGATGTTAATTTTCCTCTAATTTGTCTATCTGTTTTCTAAATTGTGGACAATGAATATGCATTCTTTTGAAATAAGCAAACAGTTTCAGAAGTCGTTTCTAGAAGGGCAGCCTCTAAGTGCATTATGACCCTGGCTCTGATACAGTGTCCGGGGGGCTCTGGTCTCACACAGCACTGCTGAGACCCAGCTGGACACTTCCACACTGCAGCCTCCTGGTCTTTTGGAAAAACAGGGGCCACCAACAGGTCATGGACCTCAGTAGGTGGGCAAAGCAAATAAGACAAGGAAAGGAGGCTGAACATGATGGGAAGTTGCCTCTGGTCTCCTGGACACTGTATTTTCAAGAGACCCCACCTCCTTTGGCACACCTGACTCTCCTCAGTCACTACTTTCTCCATCTGCAACCACATCTTTTACCACATCTTTTGCTCCATCCCTCGGAACTCTCCATCTGTTTTGTATGTTGACATATCCTGATGCCTGGAACACGGCATGGTGCACAGTAGGTGCTCAATAAATGTTTAGTGACTGATGGTTTCCAGCACCAACCACAGAAGGGTGCTGGGCATTTAACACAATGTGAAATGTCCATAGCACAATTCACCGACATTCTGTACACCAAAGGGCTGTGTGACGTGTGCCTGTGTCACATCAGACATTTGGTGTGAGTTAATGTGAATGTGAGTGTTATGTACATTAGGTCCCGAGCCCTGTAAACCACGCCTGGGATTTCAACTGGATGTTTATGGGGTTATTGGGGTGTCTGGCTGGGGCCGGGGGAGGGAGTTACACACTGCCTGGCATTGCTTCCAACCTTCCAGGGACACCTTCTCCAGCCCAATTCTGATCCTTCCCAGGAGTTATAGTAGGAAGGCCCAGACAGGTCACCCTGGTGTGTCCCCTTGTCCCTAACTTGGAATCTATAGACTTCACCTGTGACTGGAGCAGCTGGTGTTGCCAGGATTGACCTGTCCCGGAGAGAGAGAAGACAAGGCCACCAACAGAGGCTTTCTGCGGAAGAGCTCGGGACAAGAACTTGATGCAAAACTCTTCTGACTTTATTCAGTTAAAAAACAACACACAAAGAAACGGGTACTAAACGGTCCAACTGCATAAAATGGCCAACATTTGAAACTAGGTCTCTCCCCGTGCAGACCAGAGTCCCCACTGCGGCTGACAGGGTCCCGTGGAGCCCCAGAGACCATGCCGGCAAAGGCAAGCACACGTCCCTGTTGCCCCCACCTCCACGTGCTCCTGGGATACGGGCCCCACTGGACACGTCCCTGCGTGCGGCCGGGGCAGGGCTGGTGCACAGACGCGTGTGCCGCACCCCACTTCCCAAGCTGCGCAGCAACCATTCCACCGACCACGTCGCAGAGAGCGTCACATTCCTGGCTCCGTGACGTCTGACGGAGAAGAACTTCTCTCCCGGTTACAGGCCTTTGGGTCCCTTCCACGGAGGCAGTGACGGGTCCCCTTTCTCAGTCCCTAGGCAGCTCCCCATTCTGCCTCCCCGGGCACTAGTCCCCTGTTCTTTGCCGGTCGCTCCCCTGGCTGTTGTGGGGAGGGGGCAGCCAGGACAATGGTGGCCACTTGGGCCTCAGTCCCTCAGTTCTGGGGCCCTGCGCCGAAGGGCTGGAAACAGGGCAGCTCCCCCAGGGCCGAGGCTCCCATGGCAGCCGGGCCCTCCCCAGGCCCCCTGGACCCACTGGGCCCGTGGCTCCAGGTCTCAGCGGTGCTGGGGTCCCTGTCCCTGGGAGGATGAGGACTGTGGCCTGGATGCGGAGGCCCCCTCCCCTGCCTCCCTTTTGGCCCAGGGTGAGTAAGAGAGGATGGTGAATCCCCTCTTAAGCAGGGCAGAGTCCGCAGGGACCAGCTCTTCGGTCTGCCCTGGAGGAGAGGACTCCAGAATGCTCAGCCTCCACTTGTGCAGGTCCTGCTCCTGGGGCGTGTCTTGCAGTCTCACCACCCACACCTCGTCGGGCTCCAGCAGCAGTTTCCAGCCCTGGCCCGGGGTCCTCAGGGTCCGTCCTACTGTCATCTTCCGGAGGTAGATGGCGTCGTAGCAACCCACCATGGAGATGACCTGCAGGTCCCTTAAGCAGGCCTCAGCCTCGGCAGGGTCCACCGCCCGGGTGGTGCCCAGCTCCAACACCATGGGCTCCCCCGGGGGCAGGTCCACTTTGAGAAACCCCTGCCACGGAGGAGGGAGACTCGGCCAGTGCGAGCAGGTGGGGGGCCCGCCGAGTCTCCAGGGCAGGCTCTGGGTCCAGTCAGCATCCTCAGGGCCCAGGCCCAGGGGTGCTGCGTCCTGAGGCTCCAGCTCGGTGGGCACAAAGTGGTGGTCCAGGCCCACCTCCTCAGACCCCGCAGGGGCTGACGCCAGGGTGCCTGGCCCCCAGGCCACGGCCCCCCCCGGGGCGGGGTGACCTCGGCCCTGCCCCCAGCCGAGCCCCATCCCCGGGGACCCCCCCTGCTCGGGCCCCGCCTCGGTGGGGCCCATCAGCTCGGGGTCCCAGGCTTCATCTTCCCAGTCTTCCCACTCCAGCAAGTCTCGGAGCTCCAGAAAGGCGGCCTTGAAGCAAGCGAAGCAGACCCCCAGCTGGTCGCCATGCTGAAGCTGGTACACCCAGGCTGCATGGAGGTAGGACGTGCCCTCGCCCCCGTACCGCGCGCTGACCGGGGGGCACATGGCCACGCTGCCTGCCTCCTCCCGGGGTGGGCAGCGAGAGTGGGACGGCCTGGGGGGCTCAGGGGGCCTGGCCCACGGGCGGGGGCGGGGAGGGGCTGACGGAGGAGGAGGAGGAGCAGAAAGGGCGAGGCTGGGGGCCGGGGGGCGGGAAAGAAAGGGGTTTCTTGTCTGGGTGTGTGGGGTGGGGTGGAGGAGCCGGGTCCCAATTCAACAGGGACCCGCAGAGGTCGGCGAGGTCGGACTTCCGGAAAACTCTTCGGCTTGTGCGGTGGCTCTGTTCTCTGGGAAGACGCAAAGGGCAAGCGAGTGAGGCTGGTGCCCCCTGGCAGGCGGGGTGGGGCGGTCCCTGGCCACCCGTCCCTGGGAGCAGCAGGGGCAGGGCGGCGATGGGTGGAGGCCTGGCCCTTTCAGCCGCGCCCCCGCCGTGTGGCTGCTCCCAGGCCCGTGGGGCCCATGGGCCCTCCCCACCCAACCTCCCCGAGCCCCACCCCTGAGACCCCGACACCCAGTCAGCCTCGCGCGCAGAACCTGGAGAACCCGAGGGATCCCGACAGAATCTGAGAAAAGCTGATGGGGCCTGACGAAGGAACCTGATGGAAGCTGACAGAAGCTGAGGGAACCCGACAGGGTCTGAGAAAACCCGATGGGATCTGATGGAAGCTGACAGAAGCTGAGGGAAGCTGAGGCAAGCTCATGGATTCAACCCCCCCCCGCCCCCGCCCCGGCCGAGCTGACCACCTGGGCGCTTCAGCCTCTCACCCCACCCCACCCCACCAGCCTGTGTCCCCCAGACCCCCTCCTCAGCCCGAGGGGTTCTCACCCTGCCTGGCACCTCCCTCCTGTGGGCGCCCCTCAGAAAGGAGGGGAAGCTGCCCACCTGGCAATATAAAGGGCCCTTTCCCATGGTGCTCTGGGCTCATCTGCATATCTCCCATGAGCCTCAGCCCACCAGGAAATGAAACTGCTGAGTCACCACCTCCCTCCCAGGAGAGCCCTGTGTGGCGCCCCCCCCCCGGGAGGGCAAGGCTGTCCCCCTCTGCCCCCCAGCACCATCATGCCTTCCCAGGTGTTGCTCTGCCCCCCCCCCAAAAAAACTGTTCTCACTGTTCTTTCCGTCTGCAGGTTTCTGAAACTGTGCAGGTGGGCACGTCTCTGATGGGTCTTGTCCCTTCGTGGGTGACCTGCCTGGTCACGGGTCCTGTCCTGAAGCTAGAAAGTGGATTCCTTCTTGTTCTCTTTTGATTAAAGCTTCTTCATGAATTCTGGAAACGGATCAAGCCTCAATTATTTACATTTTAAACACATTTCCCCCTTTTGTGGCTTCTCTCACTTTGTTTAGCCTCCATAGGTATGGTCTAATGTGTCAGTCTCTTCTTTGAGAAAAGATCTTTTTGGTCTTTATACAGAACATCTTTAGTTCCCAAAAACCATAATGTCAGTTTCTTATATTTTTCACCTTATTCTTTCATTGTTTTGCTTGTTTCCTTTGCTTCATAATTTTTTATTTAAAAATAAGTTGCTTTTGTAAAAGAAGAAATAATAACACAAGAGTGTTATGGCTTTTTAAATAATTTACTAAATTAATCAGGTCATTTGGCCCTTCCTTCCAAACTTCCAACCAGTGCATCCAACTGCATGTGGCACATCTCCCCCAGCACATCTGGTGAGTGTCCCCAGATGAACAAGTCTGCAGCTGGGCCTGGACTGGGCAGCGCCTGCAGGAGAAGACACAACCTGCTTCTGTCATTAGCTGACAGCAAAGTTCCTTGGATCAGTTTCTCAAATTTTGCTGCGATTCAAATTGTCTCAGGCATTTGAAAAGTCCTGGTGTCCGTGTCACTCTGTGTGGCACCCTGAGGTGACCCCCAGTCATCCCTTCCCTGTGATTGAAGGTGGAAACTGTGACTTATTTCTTACCAATAGAAGTAGCAAAGTTGATGGATGTCACCCCCTTGATTACATTATATATACATACATTATTGCTTTTATAGTACATATTTTCTTTTTTTTTAATTTTATTTATTTATTTGACAGAGAGAGACACAGCGAGAGAGGGAACACAAGCAGGGGGACTGGGAGAGGGAGAAGCAGGCTCCCCGCGGAGCAGGGAACCTGATGTGGGACTCGATCCCAGGACCCTGGGATCATGACCTGAGCCGAAGGCAGACGGTTAACCAACTGAGCCACCCAGGTGCCCTACAGTACATATTTTCATGATAACATTATGTTTTATACACACAGTATTACATACTGATATATCTTTATACATATATGCATCATGTATATGTGCACAGACCTATACGCACCCATATACGTATACAAACTCCAAGCCGACTTACTCTTGCTTTCCCTTCTGGCCCTGAATAAGGAAACAAGCAGGCTGTGTACACCGGGTGGAGATTGGAGCCTTTGGTCAGTGACTGGGAGGGGCGGGTGGCTGCCTCAGGAGAGTGGAGTAGGGGTACGTTCCATGACCTGCAGGGATGCAATAACCCCCTTTCTGGCTCTTCCCAGGGCTGGGGCACTAATGAACAATAGTGGCCCTTCTGGTAAATTCTTGCTTGTCTGCTAAACCAACAAGCCATCAGCTTCCTGGCATCGCTTCTGCTGTCGATATATGCCTCTATCACAATGTGTGATTCCTTTGTTTTTCTAGCTCCCCTTCTGACCGATGACCAGAGCATAAGACTGATCCTGACTCAGGTCTCTATTACTGAATAGAGTGCCTGAAGAAACTCAGGGCACAGAACAGAATAATTTAGGGAGACATTTTTCCATTTCCCTTCTCAGTACCCAGGATCATCAGGCCTCTCCTCCACCAGGGACATCTTTGTAGCAGAGCCCATGCCTCTGCCCCTTACCTGCACACCTGCTCCCCCTCCAGCAGATGAGCTGTGCTGAGAACTAGGGGCTGCGCCTGCAAACGTTGCCCTGTGCCCCCACTGTGAGGTCTGGCAGAGCTGACTCCGGGCAGGTCTGAACTACCACCCATGTGCCCAGGTTCCCCTCAGCTACCTTCCCCTGAGTCGAGGGGCTTCTCTCAGTCACGAGTCCTCGAGGACTTGGCTGTTCAAGATGACATCCTGGGTGTGGGTGTGGATGGGCTGCCCATCCCTGCTGGCCTGGCTGTGAGGAGAGTGTGTCACACTGGGAAGAGGGAAGACCCTCAGACCCCAGGAAGGACAGCCTCCCCGCCCCCTCCTGCACTCCGATCCACATGGGTCCACAGTCCCGTGACCCAGAGGGCAGAGCCAGCACCATCTTCTCCTTCATTTTCCATCGATCCATCCACTCGTCTGTTCAACAGGTACTAACTGGGCACTCCTGGGGCACCCAAGGCTCCACAAGGAGCAAGGGCAGCGTGCTCGCCACCCTCATAGAGTTCACAGACAGAAGTGGAGGAAATGGAACAAATGGCCAGCTCGGTGCTGGACAACAGTGACAAGATTCTGGGGGCAGCTGCATACACTGGACGGTTGGCAGGCCTTCCAACGGGAATTCCAACATGACCGTCCAAGGTAGGGTGAATGGCGATTTGTTCTCTGGGTGTCATGGAGACATGGGCATGGGCTTCCCAACCTCCACTCACCCTTCAGAATGCTTGGGTGAGTCACTGGAGGAATAATCTAAAACTTAGAACAACTCGGGGTGGCCTCAGTCCTCAGGTCCCTTCACAAACAAAAGGTGGTTGCCCAGGGGCAGAGAGAGTGATAAATGTGGTGTGTGAGTCCAACAGGAGAGAATGCTCATTACAGGAAGATCGAAACCCGATCCTAGGAGAGATCACCAAGAGACGCGAAGATTTACAGGAATAAGCTTAAAATTGCAAAACAGGATGTCCTTTTTGGAATGATATGAAGGAGTGGAAACTGGGAAGGAGCATCAGTACCTGATGGGGATTTCATTAGGATGTGGCCACCCCATGTAATATTGCGTACCCGTAAAAAACAAATTTTCAAAGAAGACCCAATGTAAAACCATCGGCCTCTGTTAAGTGAAAAGAAAAAAAGCAGGTTATAAGTTTGTATACACAGTATTGCTTTGATTTTGTGAAAGCAAAAAGTCTGTGGCCACGTATGCAAGTGTTGGGATGTTATAGGTGCAGCTGGGCTCCTGTCCTGTATACACGTCAGGTGTCACGTGCATGTCCGTGCCCTCTGTACACGTGTTGGGTGTCATGTGTCTGTGAGCCTGTAAAGAATGACTGAAGAGGAATGCAGAGACATCAGCTGTGACCCCCTCTGGGTGGTAGTATTATGAGGTACTGAATTTTCTTTATAGATTTCCACATTTGCTTAATTCTCTAGAATAAATATGTGCTATGACCACACCTTCAGAAGCCACTGGAAGCCCCTGGAAGTGCTTCACGGGTAGCGGTGGGGTCTAAATCAGCCCTTCTCGGTTGGGATCCAGAGCTGAGCTCTCCCCACAGACCACCTCCCCCAGCTGCTCTCCAGCACCTGCCCGTCATTCCACTCCCTTGGAATGTGGACCCTTCAGGGCAGGCCTGGGTCCCCCCCTCCACCCTTGCAGACCCCAGGCGGGGGCTGGTGCCGGGTAAGTGGACAGGACAGTAGGGGGAATGTGTCCCCACCACAGCAGGGCTGGGACATCCTCCCCCTGGTCTTCTACTGCCCAAAACCCTTTGGGGGATGACTCTGGAGCCCTTGGAATCTCCCTCAAGTTCTTTTATGTCAAACCTCGTGAGTGTCCGAAGCTCCCCCACAGCCAAGGCCGCCACGTCCCCTCAGACCCCACACGGCTAGGCACAGGCCCATCAGCCATGCTGTGGTTCCTTGCAGGCAGGGGAGGCTGCGGGCCCAGCTACAGCAGCTGTGAGAAGAGCCAGATTCAGAGCGAACATCCCTCCAAGGAGGGAGCATCATGTCTTCCCCGAGTCCCCACATGACTACCTCCTTGTGGGGTGTCTGTCAGCCCAGCCCAGGCCTGATCACACTCTGCCTGGGAGGCACCCGTGCCCCTGGATGCTGCCCTTAGAC